CAGTTTGGGGGTGGGGGGAAACCCTCCAAATTGGGTTATTTATTCCCACAAGAAGGGGAAATGGATGCTTAGTTCCCTTGGCCAAGGAGGGCTAGGCCAAAATGAACTGTCTACCTTTGCTACAGACCAATAGTTCTCAGCAGTTTTAAGATTGTGTGTACTTCAGGTCCTAGAATTCAATTCTTGGATTTGAAGTCCACGCCTCTTAAAGTTGAGAAACACTGCTATAGACAAAAGACATGCCATCTTTTAGAGCAGTGTTTCTCAACCTTGACAGCTTGAAAATGTGTGGACTTCAACTCCCAGAATTCCCCAGCCAGCCTAGGAAGAGTTGCCTTGCCAAGGTTGATCAACTCTGGTTTGGTGTAACTTACTCCATTCCCTGGTAGATTAATCTTTAAGGATTCTCCAAAGCCTCTTAAGCAGGGCTGGGCTGCTGGGGGTTCGAGACAGCCCCTCCTCACTAAGATTCTGTGCAGTTTGGAGAACCCCCAAACCCCACTCCTGGCTGGCCCCGCCCAACCCTCCCCTCCCCAGAGTCCCCCCCCCCCCCCCCCTTTGGATGCAGGTAAATGCACGGAGGCTCAGGGAGGTTGAAAAGTTCAGGAACTTTTCCAGAAGTTCAGGAAGGCTGGAAACGGGTCCATTTCTGGCTTCCAGAGAGGCTGGGGATGCCGTTTTCACCTTCCCGGAAGCTTGAGGAAAGCCTCCGGAGTCCAGGGAAGGCAAAAACACCACCACCTCCTGCCATGGTGCAGGAGGCTCACTAGGCCACACCCATGATGGCCACGCCCACCCAGAAACCAGGCAGAGAACCCGTTGCTATAATTTTTGAAGCCCACCCCTACTCTAAAGCATTCTGTACCTCATACTTTCCTGGACTCCGGCTCCTGGTGCCCACAGGCAGTGACCATGTTGGCTGAGATTATGATTCTGTAGAGATTCTCAGTCATCGTCCAGGTCATGGTTGTCCCAAAGGTGTTTTTTCAGGAGGCCACTGGACTCTCTTGTTTTTTTTTCTTTTGAAGGCATTTCGCTTCTCATCTGAAGAAGCTTCTTGGATGAAAAGTGAAACGTCTTCAAAAGAAAAAGAAAAAACAAGGAAGTCCAGTGGCCTCCTGAAAAAGCACCTTTGGGACTGAGGTGATGAGGTTGGGATATCTGGAAGTTACTGGATTGAAGATTCCCAGTTTGTAACTTTTCCTCTCTTCTTCTCTAGCCTTGATGGAAATGCCAGTCTTGTTACTAGACTTGTCACGTGAAGTGTTAATACCGCTTTATAAGGCCTTGGTAAGGCCACGCTTGGAATACTGCATTCAGTTTTGGTCACCAAAATGTTGAGACCCTTAGAAAGAGTGCAGAGAAGAGCAACAAAGATGATTAGGGAACTGGAGGCTAATTTGGACCTGTTCCCCATAGAAAAGACAACACCAGGAGCCTCAAAACCTGGGTGGGCGTGGCCAACTCAATGCCACTCCCACCCAGTCACATGACACACACCCAAAGCCATGTCTACCCAAGTTTTGTGGCTCCTAATGTTTTCTATGGGAAATGGGTCTCTCTTCTTCTCACCCACCCTCTCATTTCTGTTTTTTGTGTCTTTCCTTCTCAGGCCAGGGGAGGAATGACTGAGAGGGGAGGGCGAGGGGCTGGGCCAGCCAATGGTGGGATCACCCAACAGGGAGCGACAGCAGAGGGCCCAAAGAGCCTCATGCAGCTCCAGAGCCGCGGGTTGCTGACATCCGAGCTGAAGGGAACCAGCAGCCATTTTGGAAGACATGATAGCAGTGTTCCAATATGTTCCAATATCTCAGGGGCTGCCACAAAAAAGAGGGAATCAAGTTATTCTCCAAAGCACCTGAGGGCAGGACAAGAAGCCATGGGTGGAACCTAATAAAGGAGAGAAGCAACTTAGAACTAAGGAACAATTAATCAGTGGAACAACTTGCCTCCAGAAATTGTAAATGTTCCCAACACTGGAAGTTTTTTAAAAAGATGTTGGATGACCATTTGTCTGAAGTGGTGTAGGGTTTCCTGCCTAAGCAGGGAGTTGGACTAGAAGACCTCCAAGGTCCCTTCCAACTCTGTGATTCTATTCCATTCCATTCCATTCCATTCTATTCTATTCTATTCTATTCTATTCTATTCTAGGCTTCATTGGCAGTGGTTGAGCCATGCCAAGTTTAGAAGCAAATCGGACCACCCAAAACCAAAATTATAGAACTCCTGGAAGTTTGAAGTGTCAGTTGAAGGAAATTCCCCACACCCCATCTCCCCGAAGATTAAGTGCAATCTCAGCCTGTGGCCTCCACCCAATTTAAAACCAGTTTCTGAGTTTTTGGGGTTTTTTTTCATTTAAGCACACGTATACAATTTCATTGAGTTCCTCCAGGCAGTTTTTAATAACAATTCACATGCATGCAATTTTAATACCACCAGATGAAAAAATAATAATTCAGGAGCAAGCAGGTAAAAATTTGACAAAATAGGGCATTTAAAATGTTGTGTGGTTGTGTTTGGACAGACCTCTAGCCGGTGACACTTTTTTGTGTGTGAATTAGTGAGCAAAATAGGGACCCTCTAAGACAGAGGTCTCCAACCTTGGCAACTTTAAGACTTGTGGACTTCAACTCCCAGAGCTGGCTGGAGAATTCTGGGAGTTGAAGTCCACAAGTCTTAAAGTTGCCAAGGTTGGAGACCTCTGCTCTAAGATGTTCAATAGGCACGGCAGAAAGAAGGATTTTCCCCAAGCCATATGTGGTACCGGTGACTTATGGCCAGTTGAGCCCAAAATTTCCATTGCTAACAGCTGTAAAGTGAGTTTTGCCTCATTTTACAACCTTTCTTGCCATTGTTGTTAAGTGAAGCACTGCAGTTGTTAAGTTAGCAGTGTGGTTGTTAAGCGAATCCGGCTTTCCCGTCGACTTCAATTGTCAGAAGTTTACAAAAGGTGATCACATGACCCTGGGACTCTGCAACTGTCATAAGTACATGCCAGTTGCCAAGCATCCAAATTTTGATCACATGATTATGGGGGATGTTACAATGGTTGTAAGTGTGAAAAATGGTCAAAAGTCACTTTTTTTCGGTGCAGTTGTAACTTCAAGCGAATTCACTAAACAAACAGTTGCAAGTCGAGGACCGCCTGTGTTCCTGGCAAGGTGTGGATGAATAATTCCCTCCATCAGTTATTAATAAATTGGTATGGCAGAAAGATGGCTCTGACTTGATATTCTGGTTCTAAACTCTGGGTTTAAGCAGAAAATTATGGTAGAGCCATTGAAATGGAGTTGGTTTCTTTCTTCTTCTTGTGCCATATCCGTCATTGGACGTTGGCAATCATGTTGGCGATCCTACTTTTATCAACAGCCGCACAAAAAAGGTGCTGTTGAGTTTTGTCCAAACCAGCCCCTTAGATTTTGAAGCCCTGATCTTCTTCTTCTGCCTGGACCTTGTTTCCCTTCAATCTTTCCCTGGAGGATTAAGTGAAGGATGCCGTATTTTTCCAGGTGTCGCATCCCATGTCCGAAATGTTCTAATTTTCGCTTGTTTATGGTTTTGATGATTTCTCTTGGGCTTTCCCAGGCAGCTTATCACCTCCTCGTTTCTGATTTTGTCAACCCAACTTATACATAACAGTTGGTCTTCATCCTGAAGAAAAAAGGGTATTTTTTTTACATAACTTTTCACTTAAACACAGGTTCACTTTGTGGCAACTTTGAGCTTCGGATAACCCAATTTGGTCACTAAATCACCCTTTGTGGCTCTTTGATCGAACATTCTAGCCATAAGCACATCTGTTCTTTTATTTCTTTCAAGGGATCCAGACATCTTCCCGTAATATTACAGGACTAGGTCACCCCACCCCATTGCACCCCCACCCTATGCTCCAAAAGCAATATTTTGTTACCAAGGCAAATGTTAGGAGGGGGAAAAGTTGAATTATCTGCCAAATGTATTTCATTGCAGATGTTTAGACATCTAGAGGGACTTAGAGGGATGTTCAAAGTTGCACGTCATGGTTTAGACTAGAGGTGTCCAACCTTGGCAACGTTAAGACTTGTGGACTTCAACTCCCAGAACTCCCCAGCCAGCAGGGCTGACACCCCTAATTTAGAAAATCTTTAACCTCTGCATTGGGTTTTGAACTCAAATTTCTGTATCTCTGGTGGTCTCAGCTACATCAAACAGGGAGAGCATCCGTTACCATCCGTTATGAGCCAGCAGTGTACAGCAGCTGCCACAAAAGCCAACACAGGCCTAGGCTGCATAAACAGAGGGATAGAATCAAGATCATGTGAAGTGTTAATACCACTTTGAAATGCCTTGGGATAAAACCACACCTGGAATACTGCATTCAGTTTTGGTCGCCACGATGTAAAAAAGATGTTGAGGCTCTAGAAAGAGTGCAGAGAAGAGCAACAAAGATGATTAGAGGGCTGGAGGCTAAAACATATAAAGAACAGTTGCAGGAACTGGCCATGTCTAGCTTAATGAAAAGAAGGACTAGGGGAGACATGATCGCAGCCTTCCAATATCTCAGGGGCTGCCACAAAGAAGAAGGAGTCAAGCTATTCTCCAAAGCCCCTGAGGGCTGGACAAGAAACAATGGATGGAAATGAACCAAGGAGAGAAGCAACCTAGAACTAAGGCAGAATTTCCTGATAGTGAGAACAATTAATCAGTGGAACAGCTTACCTCCAAAAGTTGGGAATGATCCAACACTAGAGGCTTTTAAGAAGATGTTGGACAACCATTTGTCTGAAGTGGTGTAGGTAGGGTTTCCTACCTAAGCAGAGGGTTAGACTAGAAGACCTCCAAGGTTCCTACCAACTCTGTTATTCTATTCTATTCTACCACATATGCGTCTTTTATCAAAAGTCTGTTCTTTTAAGGAAGTATTTCCTTCCATCATCCTTCACCATTGTAGATATCTAAGGTGTCTTCTTTAGCAAACAGGAAGATTGTCCTGAAATCACACTGATTCTGTTTTTCTACAGGAGCCTGACACCTTGGTAACCATCAACCGAGGAGCCCTGATTGGCCTCCTCATCGTAGCAGTGGCTGTTGCCATGGTGATTATCATCAGCCTCCTGATGGTTCGCCGAAAGCCATATGGGACCATCAGTCACGGCATTGTTGAGGTACTGTTGGGAAAAATAAGCTATCTGCTTTTGGGGTCCAGGCCAATTTTCCCATGTTGCAGGTTTTGAGGAGAATTCGAGACTTCATGAAAGTTTTTGAATGCTTTCGCCCACACTAGGTTTGTCCCCACTCTGTTTATCTATATGGGAGCAGTGTTGTGTGGAGGAGAGCATTGTCTGCTGTTCTGAAGCATTGTAGAGATCGAAAGCACATAGTGGCTTCCTTAGAGCTGTGCAGGGATGAGCTTCAAAAATTGTAGCAATGGGTTCTCTGCCCGGTTGCTAGATGGGCGTGGCCTAGTTGGCCTCCTGCATCACAGGAGGGGAGGGCGTTTTGCCCCAGGCTCCGAAGGCTTTCCTCAAGCATCGAGGAGGGCAAAAACGGCTTCCCCGGGCTCCGAAGGCTCTCTAGAAGCTGGAAACGGGCCCATTTTGGGCCTTCCCGAACTTCTGGGAGGCCCGTTTTTCATCCTCCCAAACCTCCGTGCACACCCTGCACTTATCTGCATCCAAAACAGGCCGCCTGGGGACTCCTGGGAAGGGGCAGGGCGGGGTGGGCGGGGCCAGCCAGGAGTGGGATTTGGGAACTGCGCAGAATCTTAGCTAGGGGCTCTCCCGAACCCCTGCAAACCCCCAGCAGCTCCTGGAGCAGTGGTGGGATTCAAATTTTTTTACTACCGGTTCTGTGGGCGTGGCTTGGTGGGCACGACAGGAGAAGGATACTGTAAAATCTCCAGTCTGAGGCGGTATTTGCCACTTCTCCGAACTACTCAAAATTTCCACTACCGTTTCTCCAGAACTGGTCAGAACCTGCTGAATACCACCTCTGCCCTGGAGCTGAGGCTATAGTAGCTTTCTTCTTGGTGCATTGTTCTGCAGACACACAGGAGAAGAGATTCCATTAAATGATATCAACAAGAAAGGAATGCAAGTTTGGACAGGACCCAATGAAAAGCATTTTTGTGAATCAGGGACATCGACTGGGATGGTCTTGGGAAACAGCCAGGCAGCATGGAGGTCTCAAGTGAGGAATTAGCCTCCAATCTTCAGACAGGTGTAAGAGATCCAGAACTGACTTCCAGTGGCAGCTGGCAGTCTGGGGAGATTCCTGTATTATAGGCAGAGTATAATAAAGTAATTAGTTTGAAGTCTACGCATGTGGATCTGGTTGTTTGTGCCTGGCAGATGATATTAGCATATGATGATCATCATCATCATCTTTTAATGACCCCATAATCCCTTGCGGGATGGAGTCTGGGCAACTAAATGGAGCTCACAGAGTGTTTTATTGGCCAGATGCCCTTCCGGTTGCCAGTGTGGAGTTTTGTGCAGCAGATAAATTCTTAGTGTGCCCAGAGAGAGAAATATCTGCCTCTACCTAGGATTGAACTCACAGCCTCCTGATTGTGAGGCAAGTGCTCCACCTCTAGGCCACCGCACCCCTCCATATGAGGATAATGAGGATGAGGATGGTATCATTATTCTACTGCTTTGCACATACACTGAGAGCTTTTGCACGGGAGACAAATTCCTTGGCCAAAGAAAGTAATTCAATTCATATCCTTAAGAACTCTACTGATCCACATTCCAAGCTCCAGACATGTTGGTTAGAAGCTCAGTGGAGCCCCATTGCTTGACTTTAATTAACTCTCTTCTCCTTTTTTTTTGTTCCCCTTCTGGCAGGTGGACCCCATGGTTAGCCCGGAGGAGCGGCAGTTGAACAAAATGCAAAACCATGGCTATGAAAACCCCACGTACAAATTCTTTGAAGAGATGAACTGAGTTCCTTGGGGATGGGGCTTGTGGCATGACCAGGGTGGTGGGCATGACCATGTGGATGGAGGGATTGGCATGTAGAATGGGAGAGGAGTGTTTTCCACTCAGAGTCCTTCTCCTTTTCCGTGCCCCGTCTGAGCTTCGCTCCTACCACCTCATCCGCCTTCTTTTTGTTCTTCCATTTGCCATCCTGCTTCATACTTTCTGGGCTTTCTAGCTACTGCTACTACTTGTCATTTCTTCCACTTCTTCAATTTTACTTCTCAAGGTCTAAATGCCTTTCGCAACACACGTGCACCATGGTTGCGTTCACACAACATGCTTTAACCAGCTTTCTTACAAACCTAGGGGCTACCTTTGCTGGAGCACTCGGCTCGGTTCATTTTAATCTTGCGTTGTGTTTCTTTAAATGGCTTAGCATGTTGGGCAAACACATCCGATTTGGTGAGTTTTCTGGTTTGATGTACTGTGGAAACCCACCACGTCGGTTAATTCAATCATCTAGTTCGGCATGTTGTGTGAACTGAGGCATTCCCACCAAGCTGCCAGCATCAGGTTTCAACTCTTGTATTTTAAGCCAACTCATCCCAATGGGTAAACTGCATGTTGTGGAGAGAAACAGTTGAATCTACAGAATCATCATGCAATTTATGGGGGCACCAAACGTCACATCATACACTCTTAAAACCTATATGTTCCAATCAGTAATCAGTACTCATTGTGTGACTTTCACACGTGCATCTTCCTAACTTACCTGAAGCCAAATCTCATGTTAAAAGGACAGCCCATAACTCAGTATCCCCACAGAAAACATATCACCACCAAGCCCCTAGAGACACTGATTATGTGGTTTTCCACAAAGCAGAAAACCCTACATATTCCATGGCACACATTTGTGACTTCACTTTGCAGGATTTTGTTGAAAAATGGAACACTTCCAAGCATACCTGTAAGACAAGGGTTCCCATAGCATGCTAAAATCGCCCATTGCTAATCTAGCTTGCCTCTGGCATAGAACCCAATTACATTTTCACTTGCTTGCCTTTTTCTATCTCTGTTTATCTTCTGCTTCTTTACTACACTGAACGCTTCACTCCTTGCACCTAATTTATTGGAAAGCCAGCTAAAGGCTGAGTAGATTGGGATAAGATAGCATCCATCAGCACTTTACTTGACTAGTTTGGAGAGGGAAGACACAAAGATTGAAGCTCTTTTTCTACACAGACACAGCTGTTCCTTCCACTTCCCTTCTCGTACTATGTAAAGCATAAAAGCAGGTTTGCTGAAACAGATTTTGGCTATGTTCACACCATCACAGTTAACCAGTCCAGTTTACAAACCTCACAGCAGCTGAATTCATACAATATGCTAAGCGGAATTTAAGTTGTTGGTTTATATTTCTTTTTGGTAGCTTAACAAGTTGTGTGACTCATCATTTTACGGTTCGGTGATTTGCGCAGGCCCCCCAAAAAAACCCCAGGTTAATTCAGGAACAAAATTAAGCTTCTTGTGTGAGCACAGCCCATAAGGCCGATCCGTCTCCCAGCCCAGTAATGTTAAGTCCCATTATAGGGCTAAGCTCATAAGCATATATGCTTGTTTGTTGTTGTTTTGTTTCTTACACCGGGAAGTTTTTCTTCCAGTAGCAATTTTGCCACACGTCTTGATCACTTTGCAAAAGTATCTTCTGAGATCAACCATCTCAGCAATCCCAAATGGAAAGAGGTAGGGGGCCAATTGGACCATCTCTGGTGCCATTTCTGCTAAACGATCTGTAATTGCTGGCAGCTACTAGACAGAATGGTGTGCAGTAATTGTCCTATTGCTGCCTTGTTTGGATTGAACCATTTTGCTATGGGGGAGGGGGGTGTTGGACCAAGGAAGATACCTTTCCTACCAAGGGTTCCTGAGATCACTTAGAAGAGGCAACCTTAGAGATGCTTTTATCTCGGTACCCCTTAAGCCATAATCCAGCCTTCTCCAATCTGGGTGCCACAGAATCCCCTAGCCCAGGGGTCCCCAACCGCCGGTCCGCAGACCGGTACCGGGCCGCGGAACAAGCCTTACCAGGCCGCTGGTTGCTGGGCGCCGCCATCTTTTTTTGGTAAAAAAAGCAATTTTTCGTCAAAAAAGATGGCGGCGCCAGCGCTTCGGGTGAGCTTTTCCGGGTAGAAAGCCATTTCTACCCGAAAAAGCTCACCAGAAGCGCTGGCGCCGCCTTTTTTTTTGACGAAAAATCACTTCCGGTGACGTCACCGGAAGTGATTTTTCGTCAAAAAAAGATGGCGGCGCCCAGCTGACGCCGGAACCGGGCCGCGGCGCCCAGCTGACGCCGGAACCGGGCCGCGGCGTCAAAAAGGTTGGGGATCCCTGCCCTAGCCAACATTGCTGACAACTCTGGGAAGTTGAAATCCACACATCTAGAGGACGGCCAAATTGAAGAACCATCCAAAATTGGGAAAGGACCATTCAAACCTGCTGCTGTGCGTAGAAAACTCACACTGAAGCATCCCTAACAGATGATGATAAAACCTATGCTTAACTACGTTCAGCAAATGCGAACATAACGGCCTCTTTGGTGAGGCTGGGAAAATTAGTTTGGGACAGGCAGGCAGAGAAGTCACTGGGCTAAGAACCACGCTGGAGAGATAAAAGGGATACATTCTTTTCTTTTTTTTTCATTTTCACACAGTGGAAAAAGTTATTTCCAGACTCAAAAAAATCTGCAGGTGTGGGAGGGCCTCACCTCTCACAACCGGCCTCCTCCAACTTTGAGGAAAAAAGTATGTCAGGATTTCTTCCTTGAATGTCTTCTTCTGTGTTTCATAGTTACCTTGTCATGCCCTGTACTGTTTACCGTTTAGATCTTGTTCGTTTTTAAGCTGAGGTTTTTTGAAATCAAAAAGCGACGTCGGAAAGACAAGGCAGGAGATGGAATTCAACTGCCAGCCCTCCCACCAAACTAATAAAATATTGTCACTTCTCTAAGATGGTGCTGGACCCGGACTTTTCAATAATTGGGGGCTGGAGGTGGCTGGGAATTGGAAATAAATTGAGGGGAGAGAGGGAGATATTTGTCAAGCTCTTCTCCAAAGCACCTGAGGACAGGACAAGAAGCCATGGGTGGGAACTAATCAAGGAGAGAAGCAACTTAGAACTAAGGAGAAATTTTCTGACAGAACAATTGATTAGTGGAACAACTTGCCTCCAGAAGTTGTGAATGCTCCAACACTGGAGGTTTTTAAGAAGAGATTGGACAATCATTTGTCTGAAGTAGTGTGTGGTTTCCTGCCTAAGCAGGGGGTTGGACTAGAAGACCTCCAAGGTCCCTTCCAATTCTGTTATTCTGTTGTCTACTTGCGAGAAGGATGCAGAAGAAGTTTAAAGGAGAACTTTAGAAGAGCAACTAAGTTCCCACATTTGGGGCCTCTTTTTACCTAAGCAGTACGTGGCTGCCATGACTTTTAAGGAAACCTGATCCATTTAAAACAGGGGTATCAAACTCAAGGCCCGGGGCCCAGATGCGGCTCATGGGGTGCTTAGATCTGGCCCGCAGAGCTGCCCTGGAAAGAAGCAAAGGACCATCCCGCAGTGCCTCTGTCAGCAAAATCAGAGCTTGGAAAGGCTGCCACGGCCCTCCGAGTTCCATTTTTACTGGCAAAGGGTTGTGCTGTGGCCCGTCAGTGGCCAGCGAAGTTGGCAGTAGGTTCGGACAGTGAGGAGGTTGGGGAGGAACATGGGCCAGTCCTGGAGTCTGGAGTAGGCTCTGGCGAGTGCTCTGTGTCGGAGGCAGAGATGGGGTCAGGGTTGTCTGACAGTTATCAGCTGCCTTCAGAGTCGGACATCAATGAGGCAGAAGAACAGTTGGAGCCTGTTTCCAGTGTGTGCACGTGCAGAGTTGTCAGACGAAGGGAACAACTAAGGGACTTGGGAGTAAAGCCACAGGTGGACAATGAATGGCCCCTCCCATAGGGAACAAAAGAGGAGTGAAAGGGGAGTGGGGTTTTGCAGGAGACGATTAGTTCATTCCTGCATTCTTGCCATATTGTGGCATCTGAAAGATATCGGCCTAGCCACTCTCCAAGCCTGATAAACAGGTGGGATTCTACTAGTTTGCACCTATTCGCTAGAACCGGTTGTTAACATTCTAAGCAGTTTGGAGAACTGGTTGTTAGAAGAAATTCCTGGCCTAATCCTGTAAGGAAGGCAGGAAGGAAATATTCTGGTGTTGCTAACAGAAACTGCCTCTCCGTTAACCCTTATTACATTCTTGGCAGGACTAGACTTCCTGTCTCAGGAACTTCTCTGGAGTTATTTTCCCCTCCTTTGCTGGTACTTTGCTTGTGTGGAGTGACCATTCAAAGTTACAATGGCACTGAAAAAAGTGACTTATGACCATTCTTCACAGGTGCCCCCAACACAAGTGATGTTGAACTGGCCACACACACCCCTGAGCCCCCCAAGGTCAAACAATACCCTGATGGGGCCCTTAATAAAATCAAGTTTGACACCCCTGATTTAAAGCTTTTGCACTTACACAATTTAGCTTTCCTGTATAGATGTAATGATCCCCTTCATTGAGGAAAACCTGCATACATTATTAAGAGAAAACAGACAAATAAACTTGTTTGGATGATTTTGCAGCAAAAATCGTGGATGTTTGGGAAAAGAAAAGTTTAAAATGGATGTACCTGGAGAAAAGACATGAAATGGCGCACATTTTTTCACTGATTGATTGCCAGATTTGCAAGGGGTTTTGTTTCCATAGGAATATGTCAGCCCCAGGAAAAATTGAGAAAACTGTTTTGCAACTCCCTATTCTTTAGACATTTACATTCCTATTTCCTTAGCCTGCTTCACAGTTCTCTGGTTTTCCTTTCACCCTTATTCATTAGTGTAAACCGATTGCTATAACCAAAGCAGAGTTTGTGCAAACCTAATTTGGAACCTATGCCAATGTATGGTTTGGCCAAATCTGAGATGAGGAAAGATCTCTAAAGAGATGACTAAAATGTCATTGAATTGAAATTAGCATATCTCAGTTATATTATATTCTGGACATCATCTTGAGCAGCCTTTAAGCTTTGATACCATTAACATCCAATCCAATGATGTATGATACACCAATCCATGTCAAGTATCATACAATTAGTGCTTTTAAAATCATGTGGGATATGCTAGTTGATGAAGGTAGGTCATATGTTCAACTCCAAATGCTGGACATTAAAAAAATAGCAAATCCCTGCATTTTTCAAAAGACACTAGAAAAATGAACATGTTCCTGCCAAGGAAAGTGATGCCCAATGAGATAATAGTCAAGCTGTGTGACACATCTATGCAAGGTCTCTGAGAGGATTCTAGGTAAAAAAACAAAACAAAAACAGAGCTGATTTTATAAAAGTCCAGCTCTTCAAATAAAGATATGGTTTATTCTAAATGGTTGCTACCCCCACCCACCCCCCAAAAAACCTTGGCGTTGGATATTGGGGTTAAATCAGAGACCTCAATACCTCTCCTTAGGTTGCGATGAGCTTCTTAATCTATAGAACAGTGTTTGCTGGCTGGGCAATTTTGGGAGTTGAAGTCCACCTATCTTAAAGTGGTCAAGGTTGAGGAACACTGTGCTGTCTAACCAATTAACCCAGAACCATTTTCATAATAGGTCCTTGCCACTTAGCCCAAGCCTTTCTGTTGGAGCCATTTGTCCACTGGAAAAAAACAATTGTGCTGAGTAGTTGAGTCTGTCCGCCATTTTAATTCATCTGAGAAAGTCCTATTCTTGAGAGATTGTGGGAAACAGAAGTGG